CGACCCCTATTCCTAGTCGTCACCGACCCCTCCTTGACGCTGGATTATCTGAACAAGAACGTACGTAGAGTACTATATACAAGAGTTATTTGGGAGCTCAGAAAGTCAATCAAGCAGATAATCCAGTGTCATAACTGTCAGCTCTGGGGTCACGCTACCACTAATTGCGGGAGACCTCCGCGCTGTCTCAAATGCGCAGGAAACCACCCCACAAAAGTTTGCACAAAAAGCAGAGAAACGGCAGCTAAGTGCGCAAACTGTGGTGGAGAACACCCCGCTAATTACAGCAAATGCAAATTCTATACCGAAAGACTTGACAGACTAGAAGAACGCAGAAGCAGAGCACCAGCACCCAAGTATATACCTGCACCGGCCCCCACTGCAAACGTTTGGGACCGTCGGCGATCAAGATCTACTAGAGAAGAGTTCCCATCCCTCCCAACCCGCAACAGAAAGGATTCTGTGAAAGAAAGTCAGCCACAGCCCACTGAAGAGAGAAATCACCCCCAACCTACGCAACGCCCATCCCAGATGACTGACATTCTAACCTTAAATGCAGAATTTCAGCAACTCAACAAAATGGTAAATATTGGCGAGTTAATCCGTGCCGTTAGACTTTTAAATAACCGACTTAGAGACTGTAACACTAACGCGGAATTCTTCACCACATATTACGAATTTGTAGCCGACCTAGACAACTACAACTTTAAGAACTGAACTATACGGCGGCAATTACGACACGCTAAGAATATGTTTTTACAATGCGAACGGGATGCTTAATAAGACACCTCTGGTAAGCAGTTTCATTCATAAACATAAATTTGACATCATACTAATTTCAGAGACAAACTTCAAACCCGCCCACAAATTCAAACTCAGAGACTACAACGTGATTCGACAAGACAGACTAGACAGACCCGCCCAGAGAGGTAGGGGGATAGCACTAATAATCAAAAACTCTCTGAAATTCGAGCAGATACCCAGTATTGACGCATCCTTTGAGCACATCATTGTTAAAATAAATAACATATTTTTTGTAGGAGTCTATAACCACCCCTCCAACAGCATCACATCCCTTGAGCTTCACTCAGTCACCTCAATAGGGAACAGAGTTATAGTTTTTGGCGATCTTAATGCAAAACACCCGCATTGGGACGCCAATTGCAAGATACCCAATACATCAGGGAGAACCCTGGATAGATTCGCCGATGATAACGATTATATTATACACTACACTGACGAACCGACTTTCTACCCATACTCAGGACTGACCCCGAGCACACTAGACATAGCATTAACCAAAAACTTACCACACATACATAACATTAGGACTATTACGACACTCACTTCCGACCACGACCCCGTCTACCTCGAAATCAAAATCAACAAAATTATTACCAGACATCTAGGCACTTATTTTGACTACAAAAACGCCAACTGGAGACGGTACAGACAAATCCTTGACAATTCTATCACCATTAACAATAACATTACCGACACTCAAACACTAGAATCAGAAACACGCACTTTAAGTACAGCGATCATAGCAGCCAGAGACGCCTCAATTCCCACCAAGACACACAGCCAATACCACGACGACCTACCCCAAGACATACTCGACCTAATTAATAACAAAAATTACTTACGCAAACGCTGGCAACAGCACAGACAAGCCGCCGACAGGGTTCGACTCCTCGACATCGGGAATCATATTAATAAACTCATTACGGAACATCGTAACCTAAAATGGAGAAGAACCCTGGAAGCGGTGAACCCCCACGACAATTCAATGTGGAGAACTGCGAGGAGATTCACCAAACCTCATTCGCAGCTCCCCACATTGAAATACAAGGACAAAGTGTGCTCCACCGACGAACAAAAAGGCGAAGCATTCGGCGAACTATTTCAGGACATTTTTCAAAATATCATCCCCAACAACCCCCTCCAACAAACAATAGAAAATACCGTTATAGATATCCAAAACATGGAGCGGGATAAAGTACCCCATAGCTGCCTAACCACACCCCAAGAAGTCAGGGATGTGGTCAGGAAACTACAAAATAAAAAAGCCCCAGGGCCAGATGGCATAAATAACAACCTAATTAAGAACTTCTCCAAAAAAGCCTATGTACACATGCATCATATAATAAACGCTATACTAAAGCTCCAGTATTACCCCCAAGAATTTAAAAAAGCCAATATCATCCCAATATTAAAACGAGGTAAACCATATAAAGACGCGCAAAGCTATCGCCCCATCTCTCTGCTAAACGGCTTAGCCAAACTTACAGACCGCATTATACTCAAACGCATACATACACACGAAACGTACCATCCCATTATACCGTCAGAACAATTCGGGTTCAGGGCAGGCCACGGCACAGTAGCTCAAGTCATCAGAATTGCGCATCATGTCAAAAAAGCGTTCAATAACAAACAACAGACAGTTCTGGTGGCTTTAGATGCAGCCAAGGCCTTCGACTCGGTTTGGACTGACGGCTTAATTCACAAAATGTTTATGAATGACTACCCCGTATTCATTGTAAAAACAATTCAAAGCTACTTACACAACAGAAACTTCCATATCAAAATCAACGACTCACGTACAGGACCATTCACAGCGAAAGCGGGGGTACCCCAAGGTTCGGTACTCTCGCCTCACCTGTACTCCATAATGACTCATGACATTCCAATGGGTCAATATGGCATACAGACGGCATTGTACGCCGATGACACTTGTGTATTCAAATCATCGGTATCGGCAGAGATCGCCATGCGTAGACTGGAGATCCACACAAATAGAACGCTAGTCCCCTACCTAGAGCACAACAAAATATCAATAAACTCAAACAAAACCGAATCTGTATTATTAACCAAAATGAACTCGAACAAGATATTCACTCCTCTCAAAGTACAAAACAACATTATTCCTACCGCAAATCACCTCAAATATCTCGGTATTATACTAGATAGGGGGCTAACGTTCAAAAGACATATCGACGACAGAGTGAACAAAGCTACGGCTATGATACGCACACTTTACCCCATGCTACATAGACGTAGTGGAGTCACCAGACAAAACAAACTATTACTTTACAGACAAATTATACGACCAATACTGACATACGGTTCTCCAGTCTTTTGCTCGGCCTCACCCTCAAACTTACATCGACTTCAGATAACACAAAACAAGTGTCTTCGGCTGGCGTTGGGGTATGACCGCTACGCTAGAATAACAGACATGCACAACGAAGCATCCATGCCTATGATTGCAGACTTTATCATAAAAACGGCTAACAGATTCTACAATAACAGTCTACCGAATCAAATTAAGGAAGACATTCTACTTTTCAATGCCACGAATGCCGGCAATAGAAGGCATGGATGGTTACATGAAAATCTTGACATTTACACACAAAACCCCTAACGAAGACAAACTCAGCAGCACCCTCCGTCCTGCGATGAGTTACTAACAGCTATTTTACTAAAGACTAGTTCTCTACAAAACTAGTCCGACGGAAGACTGCACGATGACGTCACTCGCCGGTGCGGAGAACAGGGCCCTCCTGAGCCCCGCTCTGGTGACTGATTTCACCGTGCAGGCTCGTAAAATAGCTACCACCCCCACACAGACTATCATAATGACACACATACACACAAGGACAACCCTGGTTTTTCGCAGTTTTTCCCAGGGAACCTCTACAAAATTAAATTCACACAAAAACTCATACTTCACTTCAATTCCCGACCACAAACTCGCCAATAATTGCCATATAATATCCTTCGGATAAGGAGATGGCACTTGCTTCTCATAAATTAAAAATTGGAAAAGGCAGCTCGGGTTAGGACGTCAGTCACGTCCAAAATAACCAGCATGGGTGGATTATTCGGCTCGCAGGGCTGCGAGCAATGAACATATTCGACATGTGAATGCTATACCAATGACATGTAAATATTTTATTTTAAATAAAGAGATTTTAAAAGTAAAGTAAGACAACCGTGAATTTCGTCAGTTTACCTAGAACTTTTCTAGGTGTAAGTAAGACGCACTATATTACTTTGCAGTATAGAGTGACTACGAAACCAACCTCCGAGGTATCGGATAAAACGAATAAAATTTTTATTAGCGTCAGTGTAAGTAGAACAAAACACCGCCAGGAGTTCCGTAATCAATGACGGAGCCCTCCGGGCCAGTCAAAAAAGGGTACGAAACTTTATAATCACGACGTGTTCGCGATCATTAGAGAGTTGAAGTGATGCTAGGAACGTAAACGTATACGTGAAAATTGACATCTACGCATGCGCATTCAAATATCCATCACGTTCACGTCTACGTACATACGTAAGCTTGCGGGCTCTGGTGTATGCACGTAACGAAAATAACATAACCTTTGTTTTAATTGGAAATTAAGAAATCCTAATAATAATTGTCATTATCTGTCATGACACGTAAATGTCACGATGCGTTTAACAACTTCAACTCATATTTTGGACTATACCGTAAACATTATTTTTGTGCGTTGACGTTCACGTTAACGTACTGGAAACACTTCAACTCTCTACTTGCTTTCTCAAAACCCGCAGAAGTGAAAGCATAGATAAATTAATAAAATAAGATGAATTTTTTAAATGCACGCCACTGTCAACACGTGGTAGTTCCCAGCATACTATTAGTTAGCGCCACCGTCGCAATATTATGAAAGCAATGTTGCCGGTTTTCGTAAACTTTCATGAGATGAGAGTTATTTCAAATTCATCTTACTTTAATTTTTTATCAATCTACATGCGCACCATAGCATCCATACAATGTCCATACTATTGCTGGGATTTTTAAAAGAAGGAGTTGACAACCTCGTAAAAAATGAAAAACCATGATGGCGGAAGGCCAAATATGATAATGAAATGTTAAAACTTATTTTATGAATTATGATGGAAGTTCTAAAGATCGGCAAGTTATTTTTAAGAAAATAAACAGTGTTGATTTGATGTAATTAGTAAGTATTCAGTGGCGTAGCCAGGTGGGGGCCAGGGGGGGCGAATGCCCCCCCCGCCCCCCTTACTAGGCGCCCCTTGCTGCTTAGCGCTTGGAGCCTATACATAAACAATAAACAGTTACTTTTATTACACCCTATAACATTTATTGAAATTGAAAAATGAAAATGAACAAATCGCAGCGTACGTAAATAAACTAACTCCTGTCCTGACAAGTAGGTATATCGCAGGAGACCGAATAGTTTCTCACTCTAATAGTGCTCTAAGTAGGAACGGGATAAACACTCTACTGGCCCCGCCTTCGTCAAGTCTGAAATTTGCAACAGCTCGCACCTCGCACCCCGCAATAGACAATTTTATGTAAGGGATCGGTTAAAAGAACTATTTTTATTTGATGAGGTGTCTGCGTTTGAGTCGGATTAACAAGTGTTTATTGTTTATTGTGTTACCGATACCAAAAAGCGGTATTTTTGCTGACATCTATCTGCATGTCAGAACGTAGAAGTATTTTACTAATTTCAAACATTATTATTTGAATTTGAGATTATTCGATTTAGTCTATTTCTGTTTGTGCAAGAAGGAGTTTTGGAGTTTGTGATTTTTTAAAATGAATGAAAAAAAAAAAGAAGTCAGGTGCCCAATTTAGGAAAGAAGATCGCAAAAAAAAGTTGCAATTAGCGGCAACTCAAAGCAGAAAATTACACGATTATTTTAAAAATAGTGCCGAAGCCGGACCTAGTGGGAGTGGGTAAGAAAATTATTTTTTTAATATTATTAGATACTTATGTTTCTTTTTCTTTTGAGTAAAATATTCTATTGATATTAAATTAAACTTGTAGAATTAAAGAAGTTCCCGGCATTCTTCTCGAGGCACCGTGTTGTTCTGATTTTCCTGGCAATGAAAGTTCAAAAGAAAGCGAGGAAGGTACCTACGAAAAATATAACAGTAGCGATGACGATGTGGAGGAGGAAATGGTCGAAATGGAAACTGAAACTGATCTTGCAGAAACGTTGATAGGTCTATATAGTCAAATTCATTAAACCATAATTTTAAATTTATTTTATTTTCAGAAGACGAGTCCAATTATGGGGCGCCTAGTAGTAGCAGTGGAATTTCTGTATTGGAGTATAGCTCCGACCCATTACTATTTAAAGAGAAACATATGACAGCAGAATTAATTAGAGAATTAATTTTGGAAGGACCCTGCCAACCAGGACTTAAAGAAAACTTTAATTTTAAATTGGATTCCCACAATAGGCGATTTAATGCAATTTGGTACTATACATCTGAAAACAAAGAAAAACAAGTAAGAGAATGGTTAATTTATTCGCCTAGAGCTAATAAAATGTTTTGTTTTGCTTGTTGGCTTATGTCAAGTTACAACAAAAGTGTTTGGGCTGATCCCAATAAAGGAAATAAGAATTTTAAAAAGGGCATTGAAAAAATAATAAAACACGAGAGAACCGAAATTCACCGTCATATGCAAAATAAATATATTATATCAAAATTACGTATCATGAAAAATCAGACAGTTATTCAGGAACAATTGCAAAAAGAAAATCAAGAATTAAAAAAAAACCGGGAAATGTTATTAAGAATTTTTGATTTAATTTTGCATATGGCCAAACAAAATATATCATTTAGAGGTCATTCTGAAAAACAAATTTCTTCAAATAGGGGTAACTTTTTGGAACTTTTAAATTTATTTAAAAAATATGATATTGTCTTAATGGACAGTTTATCAAATCAAAATAAAAACTCGACTTACACAAGTCCCCAGATACAAAATGAAATTTTAGAATTGTTGGCAAATGAGGTCTTGAGTAATATTACCAGGGATATAAGGAAAGCAATGTATTTTACTCTTATTGTGGATTCGACCCAGGATATCGCAAAAAAAGAACAACTTTCATTATCCATTCGGTTTGTGGGCGAAATCGGATATCCTGAAGAAAGGTTTTTAAAATTTGTTGATATACCCAGTGGGTCAGCTGAAACATTTTACAACGTGATTAAAAAGGAGTTAGCCACCTTAAATTTAGATTTAACCTTATGTCGTGGTCAGGCTTACGATGGAGCTAGTGCAATGTCAGGGCATTTGAATGGTTTGCAAAAAAAAATAAAAAATGATGTGCCTGAGGCTATATATGTACATTGTTGTGCACATAGGCTAAATTTAGCTTTAGTTGATTCAGTAAATTCATGTGTAGCAGTAAAGTTATTTTTTGGGGGTCTTGAAAAAATATATGTTTTTATAACAGAAAGTTTTCCAAGGCTTAAATGTTTTCAAGATATTCAAAAAAATTATGACAAAAAATTAAGTCTAAAAAAACTGTCAACGACTCGTTGGGCAAGTCACACTAGAGCTGTTAATTCCATATTTGAAAACCTCCCCGCTATAATAGATGTTATGGAAAGCATCTCGTCTGGTGAAATTTCAAGTACAAATGCGAGTCAAATGATTGATGCTCGTGGAATTTTAACATATATAAAATCTTTTGAATTTGTATACCTTCTTTGCTTTTGGAAACAAACACTTTTAGTTATTCAAATTCTATCTAATTATTTACAAAAAGTCGATATAAATATATCAGCAGCAGTTTCTTTAATTAAATCAACCATAAATGACTTAAAATCATTGAGAAATGACGAATCGTTCAACAGCTTTGAAGAAAAGGCTAAAGAAATTTCAAATAAATATGACTTGCCCAATGAGTTCACAAGAAAAAGATCAAGAAAGGTCAAACTTTTTCACGATGAAAACATCTCTGGGCACATTGAAAATTGCCCTAGACAAAATTTTAAAATTTCTGTATTTTTTTTTGTACTGGATACATTTATTCAAACACTAACAGAGAGATTTGATGACTTTTTTCTGATCGCAAACAAATTTTCATGCTTAGAGGCGGAAAATATCGCTGTATCTGAAGAAAATAAAAAATCTTTGTATGGTTTATGTATTTTTTACAAATCTTCTATCCAACCGGAAATAGTTGATGAATACAAATCGTTTTGTAGTCTATTAAAAGAAATAAATGAGGAACATAATTTAAAAACTGAAGAAATATACCCTTTTTTAATTTCAAAAAAATTGGAATCAGTTTTTCCTAATTTATGCAAAATATACAGAATTTTTTTATCAATTGCCACAAACACTGCAACAGGCGAAAGATCTTTTAATAGATTAAAAAATATTAAAACTTATAATAGATCGACCATGTCTGAGGACAGATTGTCAAACATAGCTTTATTAAATATTGAAAGGGACTATGCGTCTAATATTGATTTGCAATTTGTAATAGACAAATTTAAAACCATAAAGAGTCGAAGAATTATTTTGTAAAATTTTTAATATTATACAGTGCGCATCATAAGTCTTACCCCCCCTATCTAACTCGTTACTGGACTCTTGTTTCCTTGTTAGGAATATCGCCGAGACAGTTCGATTTTTGATTTCTACAATGTACATTTTTGTATGAATAGTTTACCCCTAATTTCATCCCTTACTGGAGGGTAGCAACCCTTTCGAAACATTTAAATAGCATGGGGTGGTGAGTGATAGCTAATTGAAATTTGCTTCAATAATCCTCGACTAATTATTGTTTCAGAATAACGAAAATGCAACTATTTACTCGAGAAATTTTGCAAAGCGTCAGAGCTGAAACTAAAAATAGACTTTATTTTTACCAGGAGGTCAACGACGAACATTTTGAACATTTATTGTAATAACAGATAAGGTTAGTGTTAGTTTAGTTGTGGTGTTTTGTTATTTTTAAACATTCATAACTCAACACGTAATGAACCAAATTTCAAAAATTTTTGCACGGTTGAATAGAGAATAAAGCCTCCTTTAAAATGAGCTATCACTCACCACCCCATGCTATTTAAATTTTTTGAAAGGGTTGCTCCCCTCCAGTAAGGGATGAAATTAGGGGAAAACTATTTATACAAAAATGTACATTCTAAAAATCAAAAATCGACCTGTCTCGGCGATTTTCCTAACAAGAGTCCAGTAACGAGTTAGATAGGGAGGGTAAGACTTATTATGCGCACTGTATAGTATAACTAGAGTATTTAGTATAAATATGTTTTTTTATTTACGAATGTGACAGTGTTTTTGTCTGTATTCTTTAAATTGTATAAATTTATTTTTGTTTATTATTTAGATTATGATGATTGTTTTTATATCTTTTTGTTTTTTAATAAATACATTTTATAATACAAAATACCGTATTTTTAATAATAATAATAAAAATAGTGGTTCTAAAAAATCATAAAACGCCCCTTAAAATGTTTGCCCCCCCCCGCCCCGCAAGGCTGGCTACGCCACTGTAAGTATTAGCAATTTAATTTAATATTAAAGGTGTGTAGATTTATTTAAGGACTTTGTTTATCATTGTTTTCTTAACCTTATATAATTTCATATTTCATAGATTTTCAATTCTGTTTTTATATTTGAAACAAGAAATGTCTGGCCCGGGTATAGTCAAGTATTCTCGAGAGTATTCTTGTTCAGCTCCTAATTGTTTAAATAAGTATTATTCTAAAATTCAGAAAGTTGGATAATCAAATATTAAACCTTTTTCATTTTCCTTCCCATATTAAAATTTGCCAGAACTGGTTTAAGACTTTAAATTTAACTTTAGATAATAATACTCGCTATCTTTGTGCGGACCATTTTTGCCTGAGTCTTTTAGTAGGGTTTCATCAAAACGTAAACTGTTGGACATTCTGTACCAATTTCATTAGATAATTGTGCATCCAGTATCCAGTTCCAATATACAACCTGAGAATTAGATTTTAGAATAAGTTGAGGCCTAAGCACAAATATAGCAGCATAAGAAAAACAAGAAATTAGTTGCAAACTTAATAATTAGTGATGAACAATTTGAACGACCCTTGAAACGAAGAAAAACAATAAATAAATAAAAGTAGTCAGAAATTTAAGTCCTAAAGAGAAAAAGTTGTATTTTATTAATATTTGATAAGAGAAATTGTTCAATAAGACATATGTACACTTTTTGTTTTGTTTTTATAGGAAACACGGGACACCCAACAAAATATGGTCCATTTTTCCAAGAATGGGGGAGACTACCTACTATTCATATTCATTTTACTTACAATTGTTATTTACTATTGAGCTCATGTATGTATGTATTACTGTATAATAAATAATTAAAATATATGTTTCAAATATTTTATTTTAATGTAAATATTTTTTGTTTATATTTTTTGGGGTTTTATTACAAAAAAAAACTAATATTTATGTTAAATGCATTATTTTGATGTAAATATTAGTTTTTTTTAGAGTAATAAATGCCAAAAAAATGTAAATAAATAATAAATTATATTTGAATGAACCGCGGTTCGCTTAAAGCTCTTCTTTTTTTATTCTTCACTTTCTTATTCGGCCTCTAACTGGCAAGTCAATCAGCCAGTGTAGTTCAAAAAAAATCCGTTCCATACTAATTCGCAGCACTGTTTGTTTCCAAAAATTAACACGGGATCCGACTATCTTCTTTATTAATTTATCTACGATTGAAAGTGAATGTGAAGTCCGAAGATATTCAAGGCAAAGCACATCCATCCCTACAAAAACGTGAGTATTAACAGGGGAAAGACAACAACTAACTCACCTAACCTGGTATCAGCTGCACACTATAGAAGGGACCCCCTGGCCGAAAATATCTCCCAAAAAAGTTCGGAAAATACACTTAGCCATCCGATGAAAGACATCAAATCGACCACGAATAATTCAGTGAACCCTAGCACTGATAGCAAAGACATAAAACAGCCGAGAGCCGAAAATACTCAAAAAAGAAAGGAGAAAATTCAAAAAGAAAGTTTGGAGAACGCCTACGAAGAGACGACAGAGTCGGAAAACGGAGACAAACGAAGTTTCAGGTGAGGATACGGACGACTCACTAAATAAAAGTGTGGAGAACACAGACAATACCGTAAGAGGAAACCCAAATGAAAGTTTGGAGAATTTAATTAATGCTCTCGAAGACTCGAGAGACGGATCTGAGAGCACTGAAAATTTAAACCGGACCGTTCTGGAGATGAACGAAGACATCGAAGGGGTAACCACCCCAAAAACAATCAAAAAGTTTTACCTCGCGAAAGTGTAATAATTGGCATTATTATTTTTAAAATATAAAGAATTTAACAAAAATCCCAAAAATATCTAATATTTTTAATATCTATTAAATTAACACAACATATTTATTAAAACCAAACAATTAGAAATAGTTCATTGTATCAGAAAAATAAAGGACAAATCGTGCGAATAATCATTAAAAATAAATAAGTAGAGTTTCTTTTAAAATAATCACGTTAAGGTTGATATAAATAGAGAGTCAATCGTTGACACAAAAAAGACTCAAGGGGCGGCCGTTGGGCCAAACCTATGCCCAAAAATGTAACTTGTTAATTATTAGTATTTATTATATATAGTAAAGTGTGTGTGTAGTGTTTTAGTTTCAAAGGTAATATCTATTTTATTTTAACATGTTTAAATCTCTTGTTTGGGTTATGTATTTTAAAACAGTTCATTAGTCTTTCTTCAAATGCCAATTCTTTCATTTTCGTCCCAAGTTTACTCATTAAATGTTTATCAGCTTTAAGGGTTTTATCATATAAAGAGTTTTTTTATATTAAAATGTTTTTGTGATGTAAAAGGTTTCATTATATCAAAGTTTCATCATAGATTATATTATATTAGCATGGTTTATCATAATAAAGATTTACAATTGTGGGTAGTAATTCTTGCTATGTCTTATTTCAAAAATAGAGATTGTTTTGATTTATTGAAATTGTTAATCATTTTTTTACTTATATTTAAATATACATGTTACTGTTCATTAACCTATTTTATTCTCACCTCTTTCCAAAAACCAGTAAGAAATATTCCGAGCATGTTAAGCCTCGGCGTTCCTACCCTTAAGGACTTGAGAGTCTTAAGTCAGTTGCCAAAACCGCTCGACATATGCTATTAAGGGATGTTTTTTTTTGTATTTTTATTATTTTCTTTTATTATTTTATTTTGCCACTGGCGAATGGATGTTCCTTCAGGACTCCAGGACCCTAGGACTGGTGACAAGCGCTGCCTAATCCCTTAATAATATATTAACAACAGTAGCTAAAGACCTATCAGTAGTTACAAATGGTCTTTAGGCAAACTGATTGTTACATTTGGTGACGAGCGTTGGTCTTTAGGCATAACTGGTTGTTACAAAAGTTAGGAGAAAATCTTGAAAATTTTAATTCTGCATATGTAACGCTTCCGCTACCAAAGAACATACATGCGAGAACGCTTGACTTTGGGTAAAATAACAATTCCTCTGATGACAGCACCATCACGCCAATAGACACTCCCCCAGTAGAAAACAGATGCAAATCAAGAGGCAGGCGCATGCGCGAAAAACAGGACAGACAATGCAAATAAAGAAGTCAATCTCGCAAATAGGAGTGTGGAAACTGCCCAAAGAGGGGATGAACTGAGTAGTTTCCGATTTGGGTATGTTCCCACTCCCCTTCATGCGAGTCTCCCTTCTACCAGCCAGGAAAACAACCCCATGGTACTAATTCCTAGTGATCCAAGGACACAAATAGGAATTAGGAAAAATGACATACCATCCAACATCACTCAGTCGATCCTGAATTTCAAACAAGGGTATAGCACCTCCGAAGAAGAGTTGCAAAAACAGGGAGCGTCCCAAGGTACAGCTCAAAAGGGACACGAGATATTACCGCACTCCCCAAACAGTACTTTCCTGCTGAGGAGACAAGGGCAAGCACACACCCCCGAAAAAATGGTCACAAACCAATCTACTACCGACACAACTCCCTTCGTAATCCCAAGAAAGTTTAGCGCCAATTTCGAGCAGTTAATAAGGGAAAAATTAAAAAAGACGATAACGCAAACAAAAAATAGATACCAGGTATTAACTGAAGACTCGGACTCAGAGATTGATGACGATCTCGGAAAAATAGTAAAAAGAAAACGCAAAGCTGCCAAAAGGGATACAAAAACAACAGATATAACAACCCCACAAATAGTAAGAACAGTGAGATAGCCACTGAATTAACGACGAGCATACAAAATAAAAATATAAGTGTACATAAAAAGAACGAGACCACAAGCAACACCCCTAAAACCAAAAACAACATGCCACCAAAGACATTACAACATAGAGTCAAAATGTTTCATTCATAAATCCCATACAATTGCGGACTATTATTGTTTTAAAATTGTTAGTGAGTGGAAGAGAGAAAGACAGATCTCTTAGGACCTGCTGGCAACGTTGTAAACAGTGTCCATAATATGCTGCTTAGAATTTTAAACTTACCAGTATTGTCAGAGTAATATGTTAAAAAAATACGTAAATAAGTAGGTATATTTTTTTAGTAATATAATTATGATTTTTTAATGTAGGTAAATTCAAATACAAGAGAATTCAAGTAACCTTCCGGTTTTTAATATTTATTGGTTTATAGTTTATTGGCATTTACTATATATTTGCCTGGTATGATGTTAAACAAAATTATTTAAAATTTTAAATTAACATTAAGTAGGAAGGGGTATCTAAATAAAACACTGTCCTAAAAATATATAATTTTTTAATAATTACAGAAAAACATGGTATGGCAAAAATATCATAAAAAAACTGTAAACATTTTTAAAATAACGTTTTAAATATATTAATTTAATTTTATTAACTAAAATTTCATTTTTTTTATGCTTAGTTATTAGTGTTATTACTTACTGCGATGTTTTTTTTGCAGCAGGTGGTGTTCCAAAAACAGTTGAATCAGAACTGAAAACCCATACATTAGGTATACATACATATAGGTACCTAATAAATAATGTTTAGAGGTAAACAAAAAATTAATATTTTGTGTTTTTACCTGTCATCCAAAAATAGAAAGCCCTCACACCGTCTGGGGTTTGCATCTTTTCTCATATATTTAGCACCGTTTGCACGTACCAAAACATCTTCAGGAAAAAAGTGTTCTGAACACAACTCTGAGTTTTTACGAAGGGGCTGATTTTCAAGGATCCTTACTAGAGAAAACCAAAGTTTTCTTTTCTCAGGATCTTGGGGAACCTAAATAGAATATTATAAAATATGTATAGGTGCCTAATAGGTAAATTATTTTTAAGGTATTTTACATTTTACGTTAAATTTTCTTTGCCACTATTCAATAATTATTTATTGGTATAAGAATAATTTACTAATTTATAAAAGGAATATCACTTTAAAAACTATGTTAAGACTGTTTTAGACTACACAAGTTTTTGATACAATTTCTTGTACAATTTAAATTCTATAAGAAATTGTATCAAATCTTGTACAAGAAATTGTATAGTCAAAACAGTCTTAAGACGGGTGCCCTACTCCACTGGTTTAAATAAAAACAACATATATTAACCTAAAAATACTTACCGATGAATGGATAAATTTCGATTTAAATGATCTACCTTATTGAACACTACACATGAATGTACCATAAATCTTTATATTTCTCACAAAAGTTCACAAAAATAGTATTTTATAAATGAATAAATCAATAAGTCACACAGAAACTGTCAGAAATACAAAATAGCTATTAGACCCAATTGGCAACGTTGCGGCTGGTTACGGTAACTACATTTCATTCATAAAAATAGGTACTAGTTGTAAATTCTTAAAATAAGATATTCAGCGTTGCCGTATTTGGAGTTCAAAGTAGGAAATCACACATCTGAAGATGAAAATAAGGGTGCAAATGAACCCACGCAACACATCAACAGATAAACACCTACCGCACTCACCCACTTCAACTTAAGAAATTAAGGAACTACTTAACAACTTAGACAAGCTAAAAATTTGTTTTTCAAAGTAAATGGGATGCGCAGCAAAACCGCAATTGTTCGCAGTTTCATTCTCAAACATAATTTCGACATCATGCTCATAACAGAGCCACACTACATACCAACGTTTACATTCAAAGTACAGACAGGACAGACTAACCTAATCAGACATAGGGTGGGGTAGCTCTATTAATAAAAAATTATTTTATATCCAAATGCCTAATTTAAACATATCTCAAGAACATATAATAGTCAAAATTAATGGTATTATTTTCATAGGAATGTACAATCACCCTAATAACACTTTCAGCAAAAGAGAACTAACGAGTATCATGTCATTGGGAAACAGAGTCATGATGTTTGGTGATCTCAACTGTAAGCACTTTCACTGGGATGCCAATTGTACTACACCCAACACCAGTGGCAGAAATCTGAATGAATTTGCCGAGAGTGAAAACTATATAGTTCATTACCCTGAGGAACACCTACTTTCAAGTCAACGGTAACACGCCAAGCACACTTGACATTGCCGTAACGAAAAACACCCAACGTAGACAATGTACGGACAATAACTACCATGACATCCGACCATGACCCTGTATACCTTGAAATCAAACTTACACACGCAATACCCAGGATACAGATGCAATTCCACGACTACAAGACAACAAACTGGCACAAATACAGGACAATTCTTGACGAAAACATCACTATAACTAAAGAAATAAACAACACTAACACACTTGAGGACGAATTCAATAAACTCACAAACGCCATCAAACTAGCCAGAGACAGAACTACGAAACTCGTAATACACAAAACGAAAAAAGACAACCTACCACAGGACATAACAGGACTAATAACACACAAGGGTCAGTCTCCTAGATCTCGGCATGAACAAAAACTGTCACGATTTCAGAAATGCAAAATGGAGAGAGACCCTGGAAACGATTAACCCACAAGACAATTCTTTGTGGAAAGTTCTGAGGTTCAAAAAACCATACTCGGAACTTCTCACACTACAATACAGAGACAAGGTGTGCTTGACGGATAACCAAAAAGGCAGCGCTCTCAAGTACGCCTCTCTTAATAGTCTTAATTATAAAGTTTCCCATTGCAGAAACTTGGGACTCAGAACTTGTGTTTCCCATGCCTGTTTGAGACGCAATAAAACAATATCCAACAAGTAAATATGTAAGGAAATTAAAAAGGTAATGTAAGTTTAAATATAAGGATGGTCCTTTACACACGTATTATTTCCAAACACATTGTCATGTAATTTCATACCACCATTTTGCTGTTGTCACGTGTCCGTACAAACAAGAACCAAGTTTTTAAAAACACATAATTATTCACTGACACTGATTATTTATTATTATTACTTATCCGGCTGTGAGATGGACCAATGTTTTGTTTATGGACTGTATATTAAAAGATTATTTGAATACATTTGTTAACAATAAAATATATATGGCAAGTGCCTTTCCTCTGTAAAGAACCAGAGTATTCTCTTATCAAACTGCGTCGAATTTCAGTGCTACTCGTAACTCGCCGAGACTGTCCGATCACCAGAGTTCACTATTACGTAATAGGTACGGCAAGCGAGGACACCAACATGCAGGGCCGTGCCGAAACAATATACTACTGTCTACTGTATAATGTAAGAAAAGAAAAGCAACCAAAAAATCAACAATTTTATTGCAAAATTATTTAATGTATTTACACTTTTTATATTAAAAATTTGTACATTTAAAGAAAAATAGGAATCTTATACAAAATAATACAGATTCATTTTTTTCCATTTGCATTTAAACACTGAATCACCGGTTTAAACTTTTGCTTCGATTTCAAAAAGTAGTTTGCAAATCACGGAATAAATGTATGATAATAATTCATCCTTTTTCCTTAGTGTCAGTATTTGTTACCATCAAAACTCTTCATTTCGTTTTTGATCTTTCTTCCAAATCAATAACACGAAGAAGATCAAATATCGCTTTCTCTTAAATAAAAATCCCGTTCTCTTAATAGACCATATCTTATACTAATTGTTCGTTGCTGCTCGCAGAGAGATCAAGGAGTCTCCAAGCGGCTCTAGGATCAGGTTCTGTAACATCTCTACATAGTACCCATACGTAATTCACTCTCATGACTTTATCTGGATCCCCCTCGATAACTCCTCCAGAAGCATCCCGCAAAGCTATTACTTGTTGCGAGGTAAAAGAAATAATAAGAACTGGCCCTTGGTCCATGACTTTTCCCATTACTAAATCTACATGATCGATATCCAGGATTTTTGACTCAATTCTATATCCCTTCTTGTAGGCTTCTTTAATAGGAACGGCAAAGAGATTAAATGGACCCTCATGACACCAGTCCTTTAAAATTTCTAAGTCACCTTTAGTCATAGCTTCGAGAATATTTGGAATTATATCAGTCTCGCACTGTTTTAAAAATCTTTTTGTGTCAAATGTGGCATCTATCTTACAAATCTCTGTTAGGGTCTCCGAAAGTTCGGTTTTTTGAAAAAGGCCTCCCATTATATCTCCAACTTTTTCAGTAAGCACTCTAGAAGCTCGAATTATTGGATTTTCACTTTCATCAAATTTTAATTTCCAGTCCATAACTTTATGCACATACGGATTATTATCTTTGAAATTTTGCCAAGATTCATAAAATTTAGAGTCTTTATGTAATTCTACACCTGTTGCATCGGTATTAGCTTCATAATACTTTTGTTGAACAACTGCACTGGTTTCTGTTCTTTTTCTTAGTTTCTTGGGACTTACATATACTCGCCCTAAAACAAAACATGAAATATAGAATTTGGATAAATTCTCCGGACAGTCCCATATTATAAATTTTTCAAAATTACCCTTATGAAACAATGAAAACAATTTTTGAAACCCCAAAGTGATAACATGGCTTTCGGTCAATTGTGTTGAATTTTATATGGTAGAAAATTCCCTGACAAAAATTCCAGACTGGAAAATTCCCCGGCTGAAACATTCACCAAACTGAAAAATTCCACGATGATTTTCTTTGTGAAATGTAAGATAAAATTTTAAGATTTTAAATTGTCAAATATTGAAGAATTGAATGTATATAAATTGTACCAGAAATAAAATTTTTAGAAACTACTATGGCATATTTTTTTTTGAACAATTAATTTTAGAATGTATTTAGCTTTATAATGCAAATTGAAGGCTACCAACGCAGCTTATTCGAATAACCTGTGTCATTCTAACTCCTAGCCAGACAGCCCCAAAAACAACCGGAGTTCAATGCACCAGAGGTCGAATATCAATCGTACAATAATTATTCATTTTAAATTTCAATACAAAAATAATGACACCTTTAGTATGATCTTCATTATTTTCATTGCCCTTTACAGAATTATATTAATGAATTTAAAGAGGATTGAGTCACACAATAATGAAAGATATTGAATTTTATTACGCTACTCTATAGATAATAACAACTCTTTACTATCTATCGAGTGGCGTGATAAAATTTTGGTTCCGGCTCCAAAAATATTGAAATTTCAACTCTATAAAATCAATATTACATAATATATGGCATTCAAAATGGTATAAAAAAGTTTAAAGAAAGTGGCTTTAAGAAGAATTTAGAGAGCCGAGATGGGATGAAAATGTGTAAGTTTAACGATGGGAGTCTGAATCTGATTAAGTTTACGACATCAAAGCATATGTGGGCGAGGTGGTCTAAATGGTTAGCGCGCGGACGGCCCAAGTCCGAGGTACCACGGGCCCTATTCTCAAATGTCTATTAAAAATGTCGAACGACTGACACTATTCGTATTCTCAAAGACAAATAGACATTTTAATAATTTCTACTATTATTATTATTATTAAAATAATACTGAAAATATATCCCGAATATATATTTTTGATAAATACTAATTAGAAAGTAGAGAAAATATAATACAATTTTTTTAATTGAAATGTATCTTTTCAAAATTTCAAAACAGGCGATTTCCAAAATTTATAATTTTTTGTTCTACAGCTTGCTTCTCGACGTTACATTCATTAGCAATTTCCATAAGGGCATCGTGCCTCAAGTTTCTGCTCTTATAGTTTTTGTTTTTAGAATCCCATAGATTTGTTCTGTTTGTATATCTCAATAAAGACTATCACTTTATCTTGTTCCCATTCCATTTTTCCAACGAAAACACAACTACCATGTCAACAAGGCAAGACGTTACTGAGTACTTAGTACTAACAGTTTGTCGAATGTCGAACATCGAAAACACGTCCACACACTAAAGTCGATCCACTGCTCTTTCATGTTTACCGACAGGCAATGGAAAACAAATCGATATGTCGATAGATTTATTTTGTTGATCGACACCGTCGATTGTCGCGTACACACAAAGTCGACAACGTCGATAGACAGTGTTGATTCGGTAAGGACGCACCTTTACAGCAAATGTCGAATTCGTCATTTGAGAATACGTTTTTGCGTTCTTGTTCGACATATCATGAATGTCACACGCGACATTATTGATGAAATGTCGAATAAGAACGTAAAAACGTATTCTGGAATGGCGAATTCGACATTTGTTGTTAAATATAAAGTCGAGTGGTATTCAACCAGTCGACATTGTAATGTCGCATGCCTTTTTAAATATAATGTTATAATATGACAGTGACAGTTTATATTTATTTTTATGAGAAATGAAAATAAGTATTGAACAAAATTGTTTTTAAAAATATATTAAATGCTTATTTACAATTTCACCTAATTTATTAATTATTAGTCGTGTCCAGTGTCGGATTGGGCCGTCAGTCTACCGGCAAAAGACCGGTAGGCCTTCGTTCAAGCTGTGGGCCCTCTTTCAGGCAGTGGGCCCTTGTTCGGGTAGTAGGTCCTCGTTCGGGCAGTGGGTCCTTGTTTAGGCACTGGGCCTCAATCAGTGGGCTTCATTCAGTGGACCTAAGTCTGTGGGCCCTTGAGAATAAGAAATGCGAAATAAGCCTTGAAAAAAGCATCAATGTGCAAAGAGGGCCTTTTTTGTTTTTTAAGGAATCGGCCCATGAAAAAAAATTGATAGATGGGCCTTCTCCGTTCTGACCGGTAGGCACTGGAAGTCCTGATCCGACACTGCTCCTGTTTGTCCAAGAGATTTAATACCTATCATTAAGAAAATATGGCTCTATTTTTTCAAATTGCAGGTAAAAAGATTATATCGCAGACATTTTATGTAATGTTTAGATTATATTATAATAATATATTTCATCTTCTTACTATCTAATCTCTTACCAAATTGTACTTCCCATTTTCTATTTAATCCCTTAAATTTCAGTTAAAAAGATTATATTATATTTTCTCTACTTTCTAATTAGTATTTATCAAAGAGACATATATTTGGGATATATTTGCAGTATTTTAGTTTGTATTACTAAGAGATCCTTCAAGTAATTGTGTGCTGTAATATACTCGTATTGTATGAATCTATCCAATGTTGCCAGATGTTACCATTCGCCAAATATGTCACCGATTACAAAATGTCGATTTTCCTTCGAGAATATGGATGTCAGTCGATCGACATTTTGATAGACATTAGTAGTAGACATTATGACGAATGTCTATTTCTCAATGTCACACGCGTCATTGATGAAATGTCGAATAAGAACGCAAAAACATATTCTCGAATGGCGAATTCGACATTTGTTGTTAGACATAAAGTCGAGTGGTATTCAACCAGTCGACATTTTAATGTCGCAATACCTTTTAAAGATAATGTAATATTAGTGTTGTGCCAGTTATATTTTATGTTTATTTTTAAAAGAAATGAAAATATGTATTGTATAAATTGTATTTAAAAATATATGAATTGATTATTTACAATTTATCAATCCTTAGTCCTGTCTGTCCTAGAGATTTTATCCCAGTCATTAAGAAATTTATATAACTCTATTTTTTCAAATTGCAAGTAAAAAGATTATATCACCGACCTTTTATATAGTGTTTAGATTATATTAAAATAATATATTTCTTCTTCTTTCTATTTAATCTCTTACCAATTTGCACTTCCAATTTTCTCTTTAATTCCTTATGGAAGGGGTGGGTGGCATAGTGGTAGTCTCTGCCTGTGGATCCAATGGTCCCAGGTTCGAATCCCACCGTTGGCCGGGATTTTTTATTTAATTTAATTATTTAAAATTAATTCTGATGCCTTGGTAGGATTCCCCACTCGACCATTCACTGTTGGGTTCTAATTAACAGTGCCGTTCCTAAAGTGGCACTGGGAAACAGTTACAAAGCCTACACAGAACACGAGGCTAATGACCTTAGCAGTCGATGCCGATGACACCAAATTAAAAAAAAAATTCCTTATGGAATTTCAGTTAAAAGATTATATTATAATATTTTCTCTACTTTCTTTCAAAAAAATAAAAAATTTGGGATATATTTGCAGTATTATTTTGTATTACTAAGATATCCTTTAAGTAATTGTGTGCTGTAATATATTCGTCTTGTATGTTTCTATCCAATGTTGCCAGATGTTACCATTCGCCAAATATGTCACCGATTTTATAATGTCGACTTGTCTTTGAGAATACGCATAGTGGCAGTCGATCGACATTTTGATAGACATTAGTAGTAGACATTATGACGAACACGACATTTTTAAGAGATATTCGAGAATAGGGTCCCAGGGGCCCTATTCTCGAATGTCTATTTCTAAATGTCACACGCGACATTGATGATATGTCGAACAAGAACGCAAAAACGTATTCTGGAATGTCGAATTCGACATTTGTTGTTAGACATAAAGTCGAGTGGTATTCAACCAGTCGACATTGAAATGTCGCATGCCTTTTTAAATATAATGTCATGAAGGTCGTGACAGTGACAGTTTATATTTATTTTTAAGAGAAATGAAAATAAGTATTGTAATGAAGTCAATTTTCATTACTATATTTCGGCCTATTCCGGATATAAATTTCAATTTTTATTTTATTTTAACTTCATGGGTAGACCCTGTATATCAAATTTTGTTTCATTTAAATTCGCGTATTATACCTGAGTAACGAAAGCGCGCGCGCTTCGCGCACATCGAGTGGGGAGCTAGCCTGCTTGGGCATAGAGACTGGAATTCAGAATTCGAATTCGGTATGAAAATGGATTCAATTGACTTTACTGATTCAACTAGGATCTGCTGCTTTTGCTCCGATATACGCCGCTGAAAATTATCGCCGATACCGTAGTTAGGTACACCGAATTTGTTTACATTTTTTTTGTCGACGGTTCTTGAGTTAAAACGTTCGAATACCGGTTTCATTTGAAATAATTATTCCGTTTTCGATTTTATTTAATAGAAATAATAATTTATTTCAGATTTTCGTTAAAAATATTTTGATTTACAGATAAATTATTTAGTTTTGATTTTATTTAGAAACATTGGAAATTAGTTTTGGTTATTAGGAAATAGAAACTTTGTTTCTATTTTATTAATTAATTAATTAATTAATTTTATTACGACCGTGAATTGTGTTTCTATTTTACAGTAATAGTAAACCTAATTTCAAATTAAATTCCGTATACAGTTGATTAGTTAATTTTCATTGCGACCGTGGATTTTGTTCCTAATTTTTTTTAAGTAATAATAAATTTAAATTTAAATTAAATTTCGTACATAGTTAATTACTTAACTTTTACTACGACCGTAAATTTTGTTTCTAGTTATTCACAATCTGGTTTAACTTTTTTTTTATGTTTCTTTACTTGGGAATAGAATTAGTTCGAAAGTTGGAAAGTTGAAATAGTATCATT